CATTTACTGTTATTGTCCAGTAAAAGGTCGTTATTGAAAGTGCATTTAAAGGCATGATGATGGCAACGATTCAAATCCTCTGTCTTGGCCACAATTTATTAGAGGAAATGGCGAAGTTAGCAATTTAAAGGTGGTTATGAATCTGTCAATATTTAAATACATTAGTAACGAGAACTAGCTTTTAGGTGGAAATGTCGTCTAATTTTTGGCAGTTCTATCTAAAAAAGGGTAGGAAAAATTCATTAGACTACAATCGTACCAATAATTCAAATGTAAAAGTGCTGAGAGGACAAACCGTAAAGGTGAATGACTTGGAGAACTTGAGGTATAATTTTTCACTTCTGTAGCACTATGTATTTACATAATATGAACATTTTAAGTTTATACCTCCGAAAAAGATAAGGAAGTACTGTGAGGACAAGAATTTAAACGCACCTGAAATTTTTATGAAAGGTCCGTCCATATCAATCGATCTTTTAAACGCAATGAAATGAAGGTACACTACTTGATGATGAATCTGAGATGTTCTGTGTTTATAATTGAATTTTCTTTTTAGAAATACAAGTCGACGGAGCTCGCGGTACTGCTAGGACTAAACTATTCGGATTGGAGTGGTATTCCGATCAGAAAGCTGTTAACTTCCAATGAACTGAAAGAATATGAAGTGAGTTCAATTAGATACAGTTTAGACAAAATGTTATTAAGTTACTTATAGGCTGGTCACTCAAAATGGGGTTCTTTGAAGATCGAAAGTTTTGTTGATGAAAAGGAATCGCGAAAGAGAGGATCTCAAGAGGAAGAAGTTAATGTTATTTCCAAAATGCCAAGGCATGATGATAAGGAAAATTGACTTCTAGTTTTGTTATTGTAGGATTGTTTTTTAACAATTGTTTGTTCGATAATACGTGTAATACTTTAAACTGGTTGAACTAATTGTTCACGTTTTAAACAATGGCTAATAAATGGAGAAATACAAACATGTGTGTCTATACTTATATGAATAAAAAAACTAATGTAATGAGAGTGGACGTCACCGACGTCATTGGTGGACCACCGGTCCGAATATAGTCACCACCGGTGACAAAGAGGCTCACTTGCCTCAGAACATAGCTTATGAAATAGATCCCGATTGACGGAACCGGCTTTCACCGACTCCGGCCTATTCTTAGGAATTCGATGTACACCGGCACTGTCCAAATAAAAGGAAGGTAATAAAATGTGTGTAACAACATGTTTGAATGAAAGTGATTCGTTTCGCCTCAACTCAGACGAATCACTTTGCTTGTCAACCCCTGAGGCTCATCAGTGAGGTGGGGTTGACAAGCTAATCAGATGGGTAAGAAGTGTGGTGTGAGTAGAAAAAAGGTGACAATACATAGAATGAATATAGAATAAATAGAAAGAAAGAATGGTTAGAATAGAATGAATACTTAGAGAATGAATGGTTTAGTGGGCCTAAAAACTGTAGATCTGATACTCAATGCATTGGAAATAGAGCATGTTAGTTGTTATAATCTAAGACTAAAGAATGTTATTACTTGTGATAGGGATTCCATTTAAGTAAGAATTTATATATTTAATGTCATGGGTCATTAAGAATACCTTTGACTAACATATTAACTTTTTTATAATCTTCCATCAAGGAATATTTATAGCTGATAAACTTATTTTTGTAGATGCATTTAACTATATTTGTAACAATAAATTCTTCTTCTATAGTTATTTTTTATTAATACCCTTATCATTTC